TTGCCCCGGGGCAGCCACGCCGGGCCCTGCTCCCGGGGGAGCTCCGGCCCCAGCCGCCCCGCCGCCCCCTTTGTCAGACCGAAGCGTTTGACGAGGGCCGCTGATGCGCGGTGGTCGGAAGCTTCACAAAAGGTGAGCGCCCTTCGGTCGCACAGCCAAGGGTCTCTGTTCAAGGAGGGCTGAAAGAGTCCAAGCCCCTGCCCAAGGGATGGGCTGGAAAGGCTGGGGCAGAAACAATGGCATGTTTTGGAGAGCGATTGCAGATTAAGAAGACGGGGCAGCTTTTGTCAGAACTGAGCGAGTGCCTGTATACAGGAAAATAGCGAGCTGGGAGAGAGGAGAAGGTCAGAAGGGAGATGATCTCCAAGGGCAATGAAGACTGAGAGGCACGGCCAGATTTCTGACCCGGGAAATGAGTCCTCCTGCTTCCTGCTGTGTTCGGAGATAGAAGGTTTGAAGGAATTTCTTTACCATAGTTAGGGTTGTAGCAAAGAAATGTTCAACACATTCTCTTTTTCTTTATTCCCTCTCTAAGTAAAAAAAAAAAAAAAAGCTCCTCAAGGGTCTGTATATTGGCAACTGTATGAATCCAGGGCCACTAGAAATGTTTCTGCCAGGGTTTTGGAACATATCACAGAGTCCATTCTTCAATTCTTCAGCCAGAATGATATCTACCTTCACTGGAGATTTCTGCAACAAAGCCCCTGTCTCATTGAAAAATTGTCTGTTCAGTCAGAAGCTAAATTCCCATTCAGATCTGAGACAAAAATCAATTGTCAGAAAAAGATTCAGCATCAGGAAGTTGGTGACTATGAAATTTGTATTGCCCGTGTTGTTCTGGGAGCTTGACTAGCAAGAACCACTGCAAGTTTCTTGTTTTTTAGCTGGTGCAATTAAGCATACGCAGCGCTACAACTGCCTGACACACACACAGAGGTCCCCCAGCACAGAGGCATGCAGAGCTGGGCAGCATTTGCAGTTTGGTTGTGAAATCTGAAGGAAATGACTGCCTTGAGACCACCAACTTCACAGCATGCCTTACTTTCTCTCTCCATTAAATGGGCATGGTTGTACTGACCTGTGCAGAAAGTCCCAAGATTAACAGAAGGATAACTGGCAAAGTTGCTATTCTATATTGTCATTAATATTATTTTTAATAATATTTGCAGCACTGGCCCATGTTACTCCCTTTTAGGAGCCTCCACGTTGCTTGCTTAATGGACTGTTTACTCTGAGTAGTGCAGTCCTGACCCCCACCCCCAATATGGTTTCAAGCCAAACATTTTCTTCCTGTTTTTCTGAGTGGAGTGTGTGGCTCTTGTTTCATCTTGTTAGTGGGTGAAACCAATGCAGGGAAAGCAGCTAGAGCTAGTCACTATGGCAACAGATGTTTATCAAGTCCCTGAGACGAGGCACAGGGCTGGGGAGAGGCACATCAGCATCTGGGATGGGGTCTGGGGCAGCTGCCATGATAATGCTCCGGCTGGAGGGGGGGGACCAGGGCCCTGGATCCAGATGGCCTGTCCTGCTGCTTACTATCTCCTAAGTCCCAGTGAGGCAGGGGGATCCCAGGATGCTTCCTGCAGACAAGAGAAGTTTGGCTTCATACAGGAGCCCTTCATACTCAAGGCACATCAGCTCTTCTGCAGGAAGAGGTAGCCCTTGGTACCAGACAGGCTGAGGAGAGCTCAAACAGGTACAGGCTCTGCATGGTCCTGGGCTTGTGAACCACTTGTCTGCATGCACGTTTTGAGCAGGTGGGGCCTGACTGAGTCCCTGCCCCATTGCTATACCTCTCCAAAATAGGCCAAGAATTGATGCCCCCCCCCCAAACTACCAGGAGGATAATCTATGGCCCTAAATCAGAAGATGGATTAAAACTCATGAGTGCTGTTAAGGAGTAATGCAGCTGGGACCTGTCCTTTGTGCTGCTTTTTTGAGCTCAGGGGTACGTTTGTGATATTTTCCCATTTTTGTCCACAACCACAAGGGACAGAAAGTTTTGATTTGACAAGCAGAGCAAAGCTCACAGCACCCAGGGCGCTAGAAGCACTGTGATTGTCTTCTGGATCCCTCTGAGGATCTTGGCCCTCCAGGCTACATTTGCCAAAGCAGAATCAATTCTAACATTGCTGCCACAGGGAGGGTCCCTTGGGCAGCCAAACCCAGCCCAGTAGCTGGTAGAAGTGAGAAGGCTATTCACACTATGCTAGTTTCCAGCACCATCTATGTGAGGCTCCCTGGCACATTCAGAACTTCAGGTATGCTTTTAGTTGCTTAAAATACTCTACGTGTGTTAACTGTCCATGGTCCAAGCCGAGTTGGAGTTCTTATGCCTTGCACAGATGAGGAAGTTCAGATAATGCAGATATGGGATGACTTTGCCAAGGTCATACTGTAAATCAGTGTCAGCTTCCACAGTGGTGCATCCTTGTGTGCGTACCAAAGCTCAGGAGATGTGTCTCAGTAATTCCGGAGGGAGGTGGATTAGTAATTTGGTGATGCATTGGAGTGGGGTCTCTGCACGCTTCTCTGAGGCTGTGATAGGATGTCTTCTTGAGATTTGTCCTTCCTCATCTCTGCACGCATCTCTTACAGAGCCGCCTGAAACTTGGAGGCTGCCAAGATAAGAAAGTGCAATGATGTTGTTACTTATTTCATGTGTATGCAGACTTTGTATATAGGCACAGCATTGGAAGTGCCAGGAAATGAGACTGGGCATTATTTCTTCTGACTGGTCTCCAGACAGATATGCACATTGAAGGCAAGCAACAAACTTGTACCCTTATTTCTCTCGCAGTCACACAAAGAACCACAAGCAACGAAGAATTCACCCCTCCTAGGTGACATTCACAGTTATCCTCATCTGCACACAGTGGCTGGAGAGCAGAGGGACACTTAAACAGCGGCAGGAATCTAGAGCGATATTCAGCCCTTATTTCTAGCCCAGCAAATGACCTGAGAGCCAAACAAGCATCTGTGGGTAGTGTTAATGCTAATCTGAGCAGTAAAAATCCAGAGTACCTCTGCTTCAAATGCAGTCACCAGGGTCTGCTGTGCCCTGAGGAGAGCAGCTGATGGGCAATGCTCCTCACAGGCGTTCTCAAACTAACAAAACGCAAAGAGACCAGGAACAAACAGGGTGCATGCCTGTAGACAAGGCAGCACTTCTACAGTATTTTCTGGATAGCCTTACAATAAGTTACCTCTGTTGAGCAGGGGGTTAGTATATTCCTCCCCAGTATCCTAGAATGACAGCAATTCCGAGCATCACTGGCAGCTTCTTGGCAGGAAGGATAGCGGCACTTGAATCTGCAATACCAAAAGGAATCCAGCCTCAACTTGGTGCCACAGCCTCTGCCCAGTGAGCAGCAGCCCCTTGCACCAGGCATGGCCAGGGCCTCCCCGGCAGGTGGCTTCCAGAGAGGGGAGCGGGTGTAGGCAGCTTGGTGAGCACAGCCAGCAGCCACCCCCTTAGGACTTCCTGCTCCTTCCAGCAATGATGCTGTGCTGGCTGCAACACTTTATGTGCATCCCCTGTTTCTAGCCTCTAACCACCAGAGGAGGCTTTGCTTTTGGTGTGTGGAACATTCATACATCTTTAAAATGAAAACTTCCTGGTTGCCGAGTTAGTCAAGGCAGGCTTGTGGCTGGGATGCTGTGAGCTGTGTTCTGTTGAGGAGCAATGGGCACGCCAATATTTGGTCTTTTCCTTACAATAAAAGCAGCTCCAACCCCTGGCAGTAACACAGGAACATGATGCGGACAATGAGTCCAAAGGTGCGCAGGACAGGGATGGTAGGCGGGCCAGGCAGGGCCCTGTTCCCCACGAACAAGAGGTGCAGAGGGGTGCGCTTGGCCCCAGGGTGGGTGTTGCAGGCCCCACCTGCTGCCCTGGAGCAGCTCTGCGGCCCTGGGAGCTGGAAGGGGTGGCGGAGAGGTGGGCTGGAGCGGGGTAGTGCAGCTGCCGCTAGATGTCAATGTTCCTGCAGGAATCCCAGTGCAGCCCCGGTGCAGCCCTGTGCAGCAGCCACCGCAGGAAACCTGGGGCTGGAGAGAGCCAGCAGGCTTCTGCTCCTGCAGAGCTCTCCCTGAGCCCTGCACTGCGGGGCTGAAGCAGGGCTTGGGTGCTTAAAGCAGTCCGGGTGGGTGTCCGCAAACTCACACAGCATGGGCTTCATGATCTCCAGGGACCCATCATGAGGTTCTGGGGTGATGCCCAGCAGCTCGCAGAGGAGAGCATAGACATTCACGCTTTCAAAAGGCTCTACCACTAGGCCTTGCTTGAAGGCTGGTCCCACAGCACGGAAGATGGTTTTCATGTTCATGTCCTCATTGTCAAAGCCGTGTTCCCCCTTATTGAACTGGACTTTGAATCTCTAAAAGGAAGAAAGGATATGAGTGCCCAAACCTCTCAGCCTCTGGCTCAGCACCCCCAAAGCACGACCTCCTGGAGGCAGCATTCACCAAAACAGAAACATTGCTGGATACTTCCACTTGTTTTGCATGTGGGTCCCGCATACTGTGTTCTGCAGCCACAGTGTTTGAAGGTCTGATTGGTTTCTTTTAGTTTTTGTAGTTAGTCTAATAATGTTAAACTTTGCAAAAGCTGGAGGGTGCTGCCTAGACACAGCTCTCAAGTGAGTACATCTTGCAAGGTCCCTCTCTAAACATCAGGGCATCCAAATTTTGTTGGACTGAGGAACTTCACAATGGGCAGCTGCCTGCTGCTCCTGACTTTGGGCTGTTTCCTTTAATGCCAAGCTAGGAGAGGATGCTGCAACTGATATTCTGTGTTCATGAAAGTCCTGCTCCAAGGCTTCTGGGATGAAAAGGAAGTGAGACCTTGTTTTCTGAACAACAGAGAAAGTCACAAAGAGCTGGCATTTCTATCTGTTTGCAGGGAGACTAATCAAAATGAAGGCACAAAGCCTGGTAGGTACTGGAATGCTATGTGAAAAGAGAGAGAGAGAAAGGCAGATCCAAAAGAGACAGTAAGATGTGTCTGTGCATGCATCTCACCCCATGGATCACATATCCTGGATCACTGTACATCAAAAGCGGGGTAATACGGGAATTATTGGCATAGTGAAATCTCTTTGGAAACTCTTCTTTCTTGTACACATGCAACTTTGGGTGGGCATTTTTCAGGACTGTATACACATGCTCTAATTTTCCTTCTTTTGGCACCAGTAGTCCATTTGGTCCATAATCTAGGAGTTCAAACTGAATGTCATTGAAGGTGAAGTTTTCTACCTTCTGGATGTGAATTTCATTGGTCTTTATGACAGTGTCCATGCCATGGTCAGATGTGATGATTAGGTTGAGGTTTGATTCTAGACCACTTTCCGCAATACGTTTCCGTAAGTAACCAACAGTTCTGTCCACCTGGCTGACCATATTTTTTCTCTCTGTGGATTCAGGGCCATACTTGTGTCCTGTTGAGTCTGGCTCACCAAAGTAGAGGGCAATGAAGTCTAAGTTGTTCACCGTGAACCATTCCATGACAGTGTCAATGTTCTGTCTCCAATTGTTTTCATTGCTGTAGTTGAACAGAAGGGGCTCTACCATCTTCATATTCACTTCTTCTCCTTGGTATGTTGCTTTTCCTCCAGGGAAATAGACGGAGCCTGTCTTTAAACCCTGTTAGTGAAGATATTGCAAGGCATAAACTCACCTGAACTCACTCTGGAGTATCCATCTTTCAGTGCAACCACCTGCTAATGTGGTTAGTTCACTCAGCCCCCAATGCCTGCCTCTGCCTCTAATGAGGTTTTTCAGTTTATTACCAATTAAAAATGATTAATCAAAAACACTGCCCTTCCCAACATTCCTGTACATTGAAATTCTCATTGTATTAGTAACACTAGATATAACTTTAGAAATAGTGACCCATTTGTATATTGTGTGGACCCTCTGGCCCTTAACCAGCAAAGCATTAAGGTGTGCTTAGCTTTCACCATATAAGCAGTCACCCTGAAGTCAATGGGGCCAATTTGGCAGGTAAAGATAAGCAAAGGTATGTGTCTTATTGGGCAGGTCTCAGATCTTGTCTCAAAGCCAGAGTCAAAGCTTATAGAGATCTAAGAAAACCTTTCTGTAATCCTCAAAGAATAGGAGATCAGCCCCTTACACTGCCGCCCAAAAGATCCTGGACGAGATTGAGGAAATGGGGTATGTACCTTAGAGTGTATTGAAAGCTTAGGTTCGTTACACTCCTTCAAGAACCAGCTGAGGTTTCTTTAAACAGGAAATTGATAACCTGCTTTATTAATATCTTAATAAAACTGAAATGCATCTATTAGTTTTTGCTGTTTTTAGTAGACTGATGATAATTATTCCCTCCAGTGTCTGGGGATTTAATTTTTTTTGCTGATCTAATTAGTCTGCCTTTTGCAGTGAGGATGTTAACTCATGGCCACTAGAGATCGTGGCTTGCCTGTAGCTTTTGCTGCACAATTGCAGGCAGGCAATGTCTATGTCTTGGTATTTGCACGTGAGAGGAGGCTGCCCTACCTACCTGTCTCTGAGCTGTGATCCAGATGGGCAGGCTGCCGTTGTCCCACCAGCTCACCACTCCTTGCGTGTTGTAATAGGGCAGCTTCTGACCCGTGCTGGTGTTGAACCACATATTGTGGATCACCCCGTGATTCTCAATGTATTTCCCTGTCAGAAGAGATGAATGAGATGGGTGTGAAACAGGCTGTGACTGGAGGCAGGAGGTTTCCTATGCCAATCCTGAATTACTCGCTTATGTGCTGAGCAATGATTCAATTCCAAGTCAGCAGAGAGCTTCTGTCTCTCATTTCCCCTTTCCTGAGGATCCCTTTGCCTTTGTTTTTGCCACTTTCCTCTACTTGGCTTTGTGCTCGTGCAAAGTGAAGTCATTGGGAGCAGAGACTGAGATGTTGCCCAGGGAATGCCTGTTCCTCATGTTAGTGGGTGAATCCCCATGGCCCACAGTCCGGGAATGGTCTCACCATGACCCTGAACAATGGCACCCTCTCTCTCCTCTCTCATCCTACAATTACTTCAGCCTTTTTCATCGCATTTGGGGTTCACAGATGCTGCATCTAACTAATTGCTCTGGTATTTTTCTTCCCTTGTTGTTCACAACTGATGAGGTCAGCATATAGCAGAAATTTTTGTTAGAAATGAAAGACTTGCACTTTGTACTAATATATTTCATGCCATTTTTATTATTCTAGTCCTCAAGACCACACAGTTACTTCTGCATGATATCCCAGTCCTCCTTTGTATTGACAATGCCTCCCCGTCTTGTCTCATCAGCAGATTTCATTAGCATGTTCCACTCTTTTATGCCAAGGTTATTAATGAAAATCTTAAATAAGATTGGCTCCAAAATCGATTCTCCAGGAATTCCCCTGTTACCCTCCCTCTAGCCTGATAGTCTCCTTTTAGTATTACCTGCTGTTCCCTTCCCTGTAGCCGGTTACTTACTCACATTACAGAATTTGGACTAATCTTCATCTTCTCCATCTTAACTCATGATTTCCCATGTGGTGCTATATCAAATACATTACTGAAGCCCAGAAAGATTAGATTTACTGCATCTTCCTTGTCTAAAAAATCATTTATCTTTTAAAAGGAGGCTATCAGGTTAGTCTGGTGCTATTTACCTTTGACAAATACATGTTCAGTTCTATCACTTTCTGCACCTGTTGCCATGTTGCTAACTCTTTTTTCCAAAATACATAGATTCTAAAGGTTTACATGCTGTTGAGGCCAGACAGCAGTCATGGGGTTGTCTGCATGACTTGCTTTCCTTTACTTGTATATGAGCCTTAAATTTGCTCTCCTCCAGCCATACTGCAACTCCTCCATCCAATCAACCCCTTTTGCTGCTCTGCCTTGCGGGTCGGTCGATGAGGACTCACCGGTCAGCAGCGTGAAGTGGCATGGGCTGGTAACGGTAACAAAGGCAGGAGTCACGTACTGTGCTTTCACTCCTTCTGCAGCCATGGTGTCGAGGTTGGGGGTATCCACATCCTGGTCGTAGTTCCACCGAAAGCCATCAAAGGACACCAGGAGGAGTTTGCTGTGGTTAGATGCTTGCTGCACAGGGGCGCATCTTGCTAAAGAGAGGGCAGCAAAGATGAGCCCCAGAGAAGGGAACATCTTCTAGCCCTTGAATCAGGAGAGTTCAGACAGCCAGAGTGCTCACATTAATATCTGCAGAAGGGGACTAAGTTCATTTCTTATCTTGCAATTGCTGATCAGGTGTATGGCTTCATCCAGCACTTCATATCAGAATGAGCCTCGTTGCTTTTGTCTAACTGAAGTAGATTAGCTGTGAGTCTCTGCAGGATCAAACACCAAATCTATGGAATTTGGCATTATTTTAATACTCATGAATGTGAAGAATTGCTAATGTGCCTTCTGCAGGCAGCCCATATGAAAGCTTCATCCATATCATCATGCTGTCTCAGCCAGCGGCCATCCTTTACCCCATGCTGTCTCCTTTGTAGCCCGTTGCTGTATCCTTTGCACATTCCTGTTTTTTGGTGCTCTGCTCTTTGCTTAGCAGAACAGGTGCTGCAGTGTGTGCGATGGTTGGTGTAAATGCAGACAGGATGTTCCAGACAAATTAATGAAGGCTCTTCCTAATGGTGTAGGGTGAATGAGTTTACTGCCATGGACAGAAAAAGGGTGAATGAGTTTACTGCCATGGACAGAAAAAGGGTGATGGACTGTGCTTAGATGGGACAGAGCACTACTGAAAGAGGAAACTGTAAGGGGAGCCAGGCTCAGTGATTTCTCCCACTGCCCTCCAATGCCCAAACTGGGAGAAAGCTCCTAAGGACTCAGGAAGTCCTAGGTAAAAGTGTGCAGAGAAAAAGGGAGTGTAGTGGAACCAAGAGTCCTATCAGCACGAGTAGCTATAGTAAAGGAAATAGAAAGCTGTCTGGAAAGGGCAGGCTGCCTTTCCTGCACTTGCCACAGCTTTCATGAGGTACAAGATTGTAGCAGAGGGCTACAAGGCTTCAACAGGCAATTCACCTCTCTTCCAGGGCTGTTTATCCACCTCAGCCCAGGAGAAGTGCTCAGACTTGCAAATGCTCAAACAGGAGTTCAGATTTGCCATAGGTCTCCCAGTGCAGCTCCATGGAGTTACCCAGGGAGGAAAAGAGGCTCTTCCCCTGGATTCTGGTAGTCCCTGAGACCCCAGGCAAGCTCCAGAGAGTGAATCTGTGTTCAGCCTTGCTTTGAAGCCACCATGTCCCTTCAGCCCATCTCCTGGTGCTGTGGAGCCCTCATTGCCTCCATTGGTGCTACAGGCAGGTCCATGGATGCTGAGGCTGGCTGCGTTGCACAGCCATGGTATAGTGACCCCTCATTCCTTCTGCAGACTGCTGAGCTTTGTTATATCAATGTTGCATTTTATCAATGTCTGCAATTTTTATGACTTCTCCGGGGTTTTATCATTGCTGACGGCTCATTTCTCAGCAAAACAGCGTTTAAGGCTTTTGTAGACTTATGTAACAGAGGTTAACATGGTTCCCCAGGATATGAACTCTCAAACTTTGTGTCTTTGATCATCTTCCTGTCTACTCAGGTTCCCGATTTATTCCTTGGCTGCCTTAGCTCCTAGTTGACAAGCCATTCCTCTCACTCACTTGCGAAGCACTAGTCTTCACTGCTTCTTCCGCCCTGTGTGGGGTCATTTCTTTGACCTTGTTTCTCCAAGGAGGATGAGCTGGGCAGAAGTGTCTCATGTTCCTGCCTGAGACTGCTGGATCTGTGGCCTCACTCGCTTCACTGCCTCCTTCCGTGCTATGTTCAGCAGACTTGTAACCCAACCCCTGTCTCATCCTAATGCTGGGCTTCCTCTGACCTGGGTGAGGAGGCTGCCCCTGCAGCCTGTGTGAAGCCTGAGGAGTTTACAACATGGTTTATCCTCCCTGGCATGCAACAGTCTCATAGGTCTGGGCAACCCAAAGTACTGTAGTCTGGACTGAGTCCTCAGGGTGCATTGATGTCTCACTGTCACCTCTTCCCTCTGTGCTTGTGATTCCCACACATGATATGGGATAACAGCGCAAGGATGTTGCAAAAGGTTTGAGCAGCCCCGCTGGGGACCCCATGGCCAACACAAGTCAGGAGTGCAGAGCTGGGCCTTCATTTGCAGCCAGTGAAAATGAGCCTGAGCTGTGCTGTGATGGAGCCTGCTCTGGGCCCCGATTCAACCATTCCTTCTGCTAATTGAGGGCATAAGGCCAGTTTTGCTCTGATTGCAGTGTTGTTCCTGGCAGGCCAAGCTGAACTTCCTTTGCTAGGAGGAGGGGCCGTGGTCTGCAGGTGGAGCAGGCGCGCAGTGCCAGAGCCACGTGGGCTCTCTGCTGGGCGGCTGGAAGCAGGAGGCTGCCATGTGACCGGCATGTCCGGTGCACCCTGGCTTCAGCCAGGCTGGAGCAGGGCAGTCATTCTGCTGGGGCGATGCGTTTGTCCATTCCCATAGCTTCCATGTGTCCGGGCAGCTCTGAACACTGGGAGAGGGACTGCTACCAGGGGAACAAGCTCTACTAACCCTGGCACTTCCAATTCACTTGAGGAACTATTTTGTAATCAGGGTTTGCTGGCTGTCCCCAGGCTCTAATGCTGTCCTTTCCTTTTCAGTGAGGATGGAGGGGCCTGCCAGGCACTGAGGGTTTAAAGGGCTCACATGATAAAGATGTTATCATTTATCCAGCTCAGAAGTCCTAAATATTCTGTGTGTTGTTCCCAGATGAATTAGTAAGTCCCCATGCCTTTACTGGCTAGCAGCACATGGGAAGGTCCTGATAAGTTATCATGTTCGTCTGCTCCATTGGGGAGGGAAGAGGACAGAGAGGGGGAAGCAGGGCTCTAATCTTAGAGGAATACTTAATAATAGGAGTGTTTTAAAGCACATTTAGATACTGGGTATCCAAGGAGCACCAGGCACAGATAAACAACATTACCTTTGACCGCCCTACCTGGAGAAACTGTTGATCTCTAGTTAATAAGGTTGATGCAACTGATCTTGTACTAACAGCACTCCAGGCTCTTATTCGAGGAGCAGATGTGTCTGAAGGTCTGTGGTCGCTCTGGAGCCACAGTTTCCCTGCTTGGCCCATTCTGGATCACTTTTGCTAGTGCCACTGTTCCTGCCAGGGCCCTGGAAGCAGTCATGCGACCAAGCAGTGAGCTTCTTTCTGACAGGGTGAGTTGTTAGTCCCAACACCTAATGGGGAAGGTGGTCCCTGCAAAGGCATGTTGGGGGTAAGGGAGCACTCAGCCGCTCCTGGCCAAGAGCACGGGTTGCAGCAGCTGCAAAACAGCAGCCTGGGCTGGCTACAGGTGTGGGAAGGAAGGGGACATGCGTTGTCCTTGAGCACGATGCTGGAAGGCTAGCTCTGCCTTCAGCTCTGCCCTGAGAAGTTGCACTAACCACCGCTGCATGCTGGGACTTTCTTCATTTTTGTGCCTTGTGACCACTAACGCCTTATGGGCTGAGACTGTCCTTCCCCATAGATTTGTGCAGCAATCAACACAGTTAAGACAGATTAAGGTGCTATAAAATAAAAATCATGAGCACAAACCAGTCATCTACCACTGATACAACCCTGTTTATCTGAAACATGCCACTCAGAGGCCAAGCCCCTGTTTCTAGTCCTTGCAAAGACAGATGTCAAACACTGTCTGAGTGAAAATGCATCTTCCCTGCACTCAGTCAGGGGCTTGTTGTTTTATAATGTTCAGTCTTTGTTAAACTCCTCCAGTGGGGAAAGTTGAGTACCTTTTCTGAATGCACATGGGCACATCTGAGCAGCTGGAGAGAGGTCTTTGCTGGGTGAGGACAGTTTGGTCAGGCAGGCAGAGAGGCAGAGGTTTTTTTTTTTAAGATGGAAAATGAAATTGCATAATTCTCAGGGATACAATGTGAAGGCTGCCACGTGAATTACTTAAAAGCCAGAAATTTCACACTTTGTCCCACATCGATGGTTACTTGGCTCCACAGGACATGAAGGCATTTGTTACCGACATAGCTTGAACCACCTTCCTGGTGGCAGGATTAACGAGCTGGGCGATGCCTGGGCAAAGCTGCACAGGTGAGAATTTGACAGCTGGAAGGAGGGGATTATGGGGTATTTTATAAATGTCCTTCATGCTGCAGGCCCCCCTGAGGTTGTTCTGCTCTGAGCACAGGGGGAGGAAGCTGCAGAAAGTGGAACAATGGTACAGATCCAGCAGTGTGACTAAGCCACTTCAGAGGAGGTAAGATGGGTGTCCTGGGCCTTTGGGTAACCTCCTTTCCCTGGGGTAAGGCTTAGCTACAGTCTTCTCAGCTTCATGAAGGTAGACTCCACCCTGGGTGTTTATGAGAGTATTGGCAAAGGGCAGAATAACTACAGGCTGGAAACAGTGTTTTGGACACTAATGCAGAGGATGGGTTGATGGAAAACACGTGGGTGCTTCTCTTTGCTTGCCTTGCTGTCCAGGCCAGGTCTGTAGGTCAATTAAGCTGTCCTAATGGTCAAAACACTGGAACTACACTGCCTATTGGAAAAGAGGTGGAAGAAATGGAAAAGGGGAGGTAAAAAGTGACTAGGAGAGTGAAAAAGGAATTAAACAAAGCTAATGGGCTGCCCTGTTTTGCTCCTAAGTGTATTTGCATTAATCCTGTCTCCTTTGTCAGTTAGTTGCAGCTCAGACACAGGGGGCAAACTTCTGCAATGCTCCTCTGAGCTCCTGCCAGATAATTGCATCAGTACCAAGGACCTTCATAAGCTCATGAATGTCACTGAAATATTCAATGCTAGGACCTCAGGGTTAAAGTCATAATACTGCTCCAGGAAGCCAGACCAGGAGAAACTCTGTGAGGCTGAGCAAGTCTGGGCTGACAGCAAGAGGAGGATTGTGGAGCTATTGAGAGTTAGATGGGGCTGCTGGAGGTTTGTGGAAGCTGCTGGGCATTGCATGCACCTGGGAAAGTTGGGTGGAGTAGATAGGAGCTGGGCACAATAGGATGGACTCCCTATGGAGCACAGCCAGTGTGATTGAAGGAAGCTCCCGGAGGATGCTGTTCCCAAGCAAAATAATCTCCTATTCTGCTCACACCCCCTGCCACCCAGGGAGAGTTCTTGCTCCTTTGCAGA